CATGACATTCAATACCTATTTTACACATACCCATTCAATACTCATTACACTGACTCTCTCCTGTTTAAATCCAGACTTAAAACTCATCTGTTCAAAATAGCTTACTCTTTATTCCGCATACTACATTCTGTATCTTGTCTTTGTATTTTATCATCTTCTCTATTTATGTACTGTAAGAAGGATGCTGGTTTGAGCCTCGTCTGGGTCAGTTGGCGTTTCTGTATAGAGTTTGCACATTTTCCCCGTGTTTGCATGAGTTTTCTCCATGTACTCCGGACCGGTTCCCATACAAGTCCAAAGACATGTGGAATAGGGGAATTGGGTAGGCTAAATTGTCCAAAGTGTATGTGTGTAAATGAGTGTGTAAGGGTTTTTCCCAGTGATGGGTTGCAGCTGGAAGGGCATCCGCTGTGTAAAACATGTGCTGGATAAGTTGGCGGTTCATTCCGAAAAGAAAAGGAATGATTATTATTATTATTATTATTATTATTATTATTATTATTATTATCTCTATATCAAACATGGTTTGGTAGAAGAGGGTCTAATTTCTGTGCCAATGAAATCACCACAAAAACCCCTCCTCACCTCTCCTGTTGATTGCTGAAACAAACAGTTCCACCCCAAACTTACACCATTAGTTGAATCAATTTACCTGCAAATGGCTTAATCATTGCATATTTTATAATGATAAACATTTTTAATCAATATGTTCGAACACATCCCCTTTCAATATGTATTATATAAACCTATCACATAAAATATGGAACATCTAAAATATGCAAATACATAAGCAAAAAAATATTATTAATATAAATATTATTATTCTGTACCTTAAATTAGTCAACAATTAATTTAAAGGCGGATGTTTGCAGATGTTCCCAGATAGAGAGGACTAATGTTGATGTATCTGATGGTAAACAGCTTAATATCCAGCCGAGTTCCTAATCAAGTCTAATGAGCTCACACTTAAACTCATAATTTGGTTAATAATGCCATCTTTCCATTCCACTGCATTTGACAATTTATGCGTAATTTGGTTTGCTTCTGGTTGATTGTGGTGGAACGTCTGAATCCGAGACTCGGAGCAAATCATGCATTACAGCAATCAAATCATAAATGCCATTGAATGGCTTGTGCTGGATTTTCATACTTCCATTCAGTTTGCCTCCCGTATAGACTAAACCATGGTGGTGTTTTTTGATACGTTACAATTCTTCCGGTAGCCCAGCCATCATTTTGCACCTTTCAGTTTGGAAGCACATCAGCGTTCGTCCAGTAAATGTTCATTTTCAGTCTTCGATTGTACCATGAAGGTGAAGCTTTCCAGTTCAGCACTTTCTCTGTCACTGTCCTTCAATGGCGTAAAGAAGATCAGCGAAGCGTTGACGTCCGTTTTCTACACTCATCATCACCCTGTAAGGCATTTATACAAATATCTCAGCGATTACCGCAACAATCACCCAGCTAGTCTCTGGAATTAGCATGTGGAGTTAATGGTAACGCTCACCTTGAAATGTCATCTTGACAAGAGCTCAACATGGCCGCCCAGCGAGGCCTGTTCTTCACCCCCCTGCCCCGTGGATTTGTTAAAAGACTGCATGTTTCTCCACTGGAACCGTTTCCTTTAAGAATTCATGTGACTGCTGGGGTTTGCGCGCTGGGTGTTGTTGCAGTTTTCAGAGTAGTTTAGCCACAGCCGGATTGAAAAGCTCTTCTCAGACGTGCCGCTGGCGAGTTTATATCCCACCCCGTCGGAGCGATGCGGTTTCATTGCCTTTAATTTGTTACATTTGCCTGCGCCACACAATGCGGGGGCCAGGGGATGAAATTATGAATATTAAAATAGGAATGTGCGTGCGGTGCTTCAGTGTTAAATCATAAGGGAAGGACTGTCGCAGGCCTTATTAAAAGATAATGTGTGCTGGGGGAGAGGAAACATATCACTTGTCTGCTGGTGGATCCTGCTATGTTGAGCTCACTGCATGTCTGCGGACAAACACTCTGATGATTTGAGCACAAGTCAGAGTGCAGAGTACAGGAGGTGTGGAGAGGAATTCATTCAAACTGAATGAAGGCAAAAGGAAAGATGAGGTGGCAAATATGTGTGTGTGTGTGTGTGTGTGTGTGTGTGTGTGTGTATATATACATATTTATATTTATATATATATATATATATATATATATATATATATATATATATATATATAAACACCTATACACCTTTTCATTCAAACACACACACACACTATGGGCATGCGCATGTCTTTGGACTGTGGGGTAAACAAACCGGAGCACCCGGAGGAAACCCACACGAACATGGGGAGAACATGCAAACCCCACAGAGAAATCAACTGGCCCAGCTGGGATTCGGACCAGTGATCTTCTTGTTGTGAGGCGACAATGCTTACCACAACATTTAACCATTTTACAAGTTTTTTGAAGTTGACACTTTGTGTGTGGTTGCGTATGTGTGTGTCTTAATTTGTTTGTTAAAATATATCAATGCTAGTGATAAGAACATAAATCATTCATTTATAAATCATCATTTATAAATCATAAGTTCATTAATAAATCATGTCATAAATCAATTAAATAAAATAAGTTTTCCAGCTGCAACCCATCTCTGGGAATAACCATACACACTCATACACTACGGATAATTTGGCCTACTTAATTCACCTGTTTCGCATGTCTTTGTACTGTGGGGGAAACCAGAGAACCCGGAGGAAACCCATGCAAACGCAAGGAGAACATGCAAACTTCACACAGAAACGCCAACTGACCCAGCCAAGGCTTGAACCAGCGACCTTCTTGCTGTGAGGCGACAGCACTACCTACTGTGCCACTGCGTCACCCTCAAAGCTAAATCATGCATATTAAGGAAGTAGCATCTCGTTCACAATAGAGTGTGCTGATTGGATCGAACCAAGTATTTCTCATGATTTAATGAACAGATGTCCTGAAAACTCAATGTCACTTTGTACCGGCTGATACAGACAGACAATCTTCATGCCAAAAGAAATAATGTACTCTAAACAAAGCAAAAATAACCTATTTTCACCTGTTAGCTAAAAATATATATGTCCTGCTGGTGTTTTTAGCAACATATATGATTATAGACATAAAAAAAATGTGTTTTGGTGTTTCGTGGCCCTTTAGGTATTAATCATTCTGAAATCTGCAGATTTTTTTTGTTTTAATTCTGAGCAGAAATATATGTTAGCAGATTCTGTCTGGCTCTAACTACGACTAATAAGTGGTGTACAAGCATTGTTCATTGTTTGTTTCTATTAGTAAATGTATAACTAACATTAACTCTGTGTCCTTTAATGTAAAGTGTTACCAAAATTCTTTGTCTAAAGAATTCAGAAAATCCTATAAAAAAAGATTGTATCCACTTTTGAAGCTACTGTATAACTCACTTACTAGGAAAGTGTGAGAGCTGGAGCTGTAAACTACTCTTGTTTTGACTCGACTAATGAAATGAACTATGCAACATCTCCACTCTGACTGCAAAAATTATCCTTAATACAGTCTGAGATTACAGGCCTCTCGTGGTGTCAATGGACTGGCACTCGGACGCCACTCAGCCTGGCAAACCCACTGCGCCCTGATAAAAATAGAGCGAGGACAGAGAAGGGCTAATTATCACAACACTGAGGGATGTACTTGAGATTCACAGTCTAACGTTCAGGGACAAATGTGTCTGAAAACACACCAGCACAGCCAGTGAAGGAAAATTAGCATTCTTGCTTACTTTTCATAGTTTAATAGACATTAGTAGCTTTTTTGGTTCGGTGTGAAAACTATTTTGGTTAATGGCGAACCGGCTTGATAGCCTCAAGTCCCAAGTGCGGCTCCAATAAGATACTTTTGGGGATTTAAGTTTGATTTATTGATGTCATAAAAATTGAGAGACTTTAATACCACAGCCTTTCACCGTTGGAAATTCAGAAACATGTGCCTGTCAGATACGAGTAGCCGCTCCACATTTCATATTTCAGCAAGCCGCTAAAAGGGTGATAGAGATCTGCACATATTTTGTTTTTCTATTGTGATTGATTGTCACGGGGAAGTCAGATGCAGCTTGTAGGTTTTATACTCCTCCTGTAAACACAACAGAAAAGAAGAAACGCTATTATTGAGAGAGCCTATGAGATGTCAATCAGAGGGATGGAGCCGACGTCGATGCGAGGTGGGATTCTCCATTACTGAAATGAGAGCTGATGGACTGTTTGAATGGCTCTCTGGCCCTGAGTTTATCCCGGCTTTGTGCGGCTGATACAGTAATTGCAGGCAGTGATTAGGAAGCTCCCGCAGCACAAAGCACAGGCCGGATTAAACGCACACTCTGTGGCAGATGCAACGCATGCTGTCAATTATAATATACCACTCCAAATGGCACTAAGCGGGATCGTAATAAAGAACCGCAGCTCGGTGATGGACCCATCTTATAAATGAACAATATGCTCAGAGCTTCATTCAGGAGCATTGTCTGGATGGGGATGAAATGACGTTACCTACAATTTGAACAGCAGGTCGTGTCTTTCGCAGAAAGCTTTCCACTACTCTATGTGTTCAAAATGCATGGACAGCCAAAGCTGAAAAGATTGTCCTGTTATTCTGTCTTCTATTAATTTACCCAAAACTACAAGGAAAAGAGGATCTGACTGGTATTATTCACTTAAGGAGCTGACTCACAGCATTACTGGAAGACGCCGAGAGCATTAGTGACCCTGAGATATGACTTGTACTGTTTGTTTGTTGCTGGTATACAATGATGAAGTGTGTTCGTCATTATTCTAGGCATGCTTTGTTTCCTGTCACACCACCATATGGCTTGATCTGTCAGTACTTCTTGACAAAACCAAACTTCATTTGAGTGGACAAGACAAGGCTAAAACTTTATGTTGTCAACCTTCAAATGTTTCTGAAGGTAAAGTATGATAAAGTGAGGAAGGTCACTAACAATGCTTTATCTCTTTCTCTCTCTTCTGCAGATCCTAATGAGTTGAAACGCGCCACAGATCACGCTTTAATCGGTGGAATCGTTGCTGTCGTCGTGTTCGCTACTTTGTGCTTAATTATTGTATTGGGACGCTACCTGGCACGACATAAAGGTGAGATTTTTCTTTAATGACTAACATGGCAGATATGCTGATTTCTGAAGGATTGCTTGAGGCTTAAAATTGAGCAATGGCTGCTGAGCTTTTTTAATTTTAGCGTCTGTTACATACAATTTCTGACATTTATGACAACAATTAATTTAGCATGTCATGATTTGCCAAGTACAATGCGATCCTGGATTAACATCTGTGGTGATCCTTAAACATAATTTTTGTAGGAAAATGTAATCCATATATTTTCCCTCCCCTAAAACCCAACCATAACTGCAAATCATTCCCAAAATCAGAGAGGAATAATAGTTGTATAAGAATCATGTAGAAGTGTACAAACCTGTAAGCTTAATGTCGAGTTTAGACCGTATGATTTTAGCCTTGATTTTGACTCATCGACAGGTTTTGACAAATCACCGACAAATGTCTGAAATCACAGGAAAATCGGTGCTTGTTCACACAAGTAAAAATTACACAGTGTGAACTATCAAAGACGCGATCTGAGAGAATCGCAGATGAGTCGCCGACACCCGTGACATTCTATTTGACGTGCTAAATATCTTGACCTGTCAGCAATTCAAAATCATGCCGTGTGATATGTGTTCTGATTGAAAACATTGCGATTGAGCTACAGCTAATGAAAGAGCAGCATCCACTAGCATGGGTTTCTGCAGGCCAGCGGTAGGTTGGGATAAAGTTAAAAGGCCTACTTTTCTGTCCATTAGGACCCAAGTAATGGAGGAAAAACTAGTGTAAATTTGGCAGGGGCACTTGTGTCTGTTTGTCATCTGAGCAATACCACAACTGGGTTGAAAAAGAAAAAAAAAAGTTGAAGAGAAATTGCTAATACCATTCAAAAGCCAGTTGAGCAAAATAAGTACATTTTCTATACCACTTCTTTCTCA